GAGAGATTAATAATGCACAGCTAATACCAAAATTCAAAGGCTTGTCAGAAGCCAGGCAAGTCCATGTTAATTTTGCGGAGACGATTAAAAGAGAACAACAGCAGCCTTGTTTGTAGTGACAACAAACCCATAAAATAGCAACACACAAAATAAAAAGATACAGCACAGGAAAATGTAAGTAGATTAACAACATTTCAAATTGCAAAAAACATGGAGTTTTTATACAATGCCACTACACACTAATACTGCTGAGTGGGAGCACCAACAAAACAGAAAAAAGGATTCAGGGTATAGAAAAGGCTGTAATGGGTAGTGGGGAAATCATCCAAGTCCTCCTGATAGCTGCACTCCTGTGATCTCCACAGGTTCAACGTGTCACAGTGAGCCAGAGAGGAACTCAATCCCCTCCTCTGCAGCTCTGGTAAAATCTGAGGACCAAAACTTTTAAGGAATTGCTCTTCCATGCAGAAACAAGATGTACTACGTGGAAGAAGATGGTTATTCAACTAGGTTCAGGCTGGAAGCCTGAACTCAAATCTCCTAAATCTGTGACAAAAAATTCTTAGCAGGTTAAGCTTTCCCAAGCCCCTGGAATGATCTTATACTGAGCTAAGGCTGTATTACTTTTCCTCCTCTTGTTTTTATTAATGTTTTACGTTGCTGGGTTGAGGCAGCCAGTACACACAGCCTTGCAGAGTTAATACAAATATAGCTGCCATCAGAACATGCATTTTCTTTAATTTTTAATTAATACTAACAATACTGAATCATGTGAACCAAACAATATGGCACAATGGGAATTCAAGGACATCTGTATTACTTACAGACAGTTTTAATACTGGGTCTACTCTGCCTTTCAGGCCTAATCTTTAGGTGGGGTATTGTTATAAATCCCTCAGGGTAGGTGCTCTCCACTCCAAAATCGTTAGAAAGTGCTGGGTTGTAATTCAATGCCTTGTCTCTCTACTTACTGGATATGTGCCAGTGCACAAACTGTATTGACAGGTGAAATAAATGGCAGGCAGGAGCTTAAATAACTTCAAAAACCCAACTCAAGGACCACAGCGAGATACACTGAGATTGGGAGCTCTGATAGAAAGGCACATTTATTAAATGCTCTTCCCTAAATTCTTCATTTATCTAACGAAAGTGTGAAGACAGAATACCAAACAGCAATTTTCTATCTGTTTTCTACACTCATATTAGAGCATGTACTAAAACATTATGTCATCATGAATACAAATAATGTCCAGCAGAACATGTTGTGGTGTAGCCAGAGTTGATGTTCTTCAATCTAATTATTCCATGTTGCTTTTCACACATCTGTTTCTCTCAGCTGTCAAACTTGGGCTCAATTTTCACACATTGGCCTGTGCTACTGTTCCAAATTGAAACAAATTATGAGCTCCCTGACCTGGTATTTGCTTTTCTCCAGTCAGTTCATGGCACAGCTCAGTGTCGAGTGGAAAGCATGTTGTTAAAACCCAGTGAAACCAAGCAAAGCTAAGTGCTCCATGCTAAAAGAATTTTTCCCAGGACAGACTGCTTAACATAGCAAGATTTTTTTCTACTGACATTTAAAAGTATGGCATTGTTTTGTTCTTCAACCACCTGAAAAACTCACAAGGTGGGCAGGAAGAGGTAAGACCTAATGCTCTTAGTAGGCTCTCCCAAATACACAATTGTTTGGTCTGTATTTCCATTTCAATGCATACAATTTCAATTACTTGCTGGATATACCAGTTAAAAAAACCACACTACAACTCTGCTAAAGTAATAACACAGAATTCAATCTAATGCCACATTCAATTAACTTGTGTTTTAAGTCACTCCTTGGTAATTCAGGACTAATCTATACCACATTTAAAGTTGGTTTCAAGACTGTTCACCAAACTGTTGGAAAATGGTGACACACAATGAATTAGTCACTCCAAGTTATTTCTACTCCTTTGTTTTCTACACAAACAAAACCTAGGATGGTCTTTAACAGTTCCTCCATACCCTTACAACAGCCCTGATTAAAAGAAAGATCTGCTTCATACTCCAAAGTGTTTGTCACTGCTATTTTGAGAATAGAAAGCGTAGAGAAAAAATTTTTGCAAAAAGGACAAAGGAACCAAGCAGCACAAATGTCACAATAATCAATTTCCTTTAATTCCTTTATAATCTATAAATGGTTCTAGTTTCTGTAATATTGGAGTCTGATGTAGCACATCTTACTGACACCAAATACTGTTTGTAAAAACCCAAATTTCCAATAGAATTACTCACACGAGTGAAAGCTGTTGACTATGACTGCCTAAACCCACCTAAACCTCCAAGGTCAGTGGCTTCACGTTGGTGAACCCTTCTGTTGATTATATTACCCCAGGCAGCTATTTCACTTACACACCTTACCAACATTCCTCACTTACATACAGCTTAAAAACCATTTTCAATAATTTCTCTGAGTGGAAGCATGCTACAGAACATAATACAGTTTTTTTAATTCAACTCAAAAGTTTGATATAAATGCTACTTCCTCAAAATACCAAAGAGTTAAAAATAGTTGAGAACCCCTCTTATTGAATAGCCTCTTTTCCACAGTAGTTTGCAGCGTGACGATGAAATGAGACAAAAACATAAGGGGAAACCCACATGATAAAATACCAAAGCAAGTATTAGTCATAAGATCATAAAGTGACAGCATTATCTCACAAACAGAACAAAGATGAAAACAGAATCAGACCAACCTGAAATAGAAACTCTTTCAATTTTTCTATCAAACATTCACGTGATAAAAAGTTCAGGGTAGGTCTCTGAAATGGGTTTTTAATCACTTGCTTATTTTATTTCCTCCTCTAATGGTATAATTACTCTCCACATGATGAATGAAAAAGCAGAGACCTGTCAGAGCCGTGTTCATAAGCAATCTTGCAGGACCAGACATGAACATAAAAGAGCCCTGGAACACAGCAAGTGTCAAGAGGACACAAGCTGCGGGGCTGATTAGCTATTTTGATTCTATATTGAGAGGATCTGATCCATTAGCACGAGGAGATTAGAAATCACTCTGCTACAGCTGTGGTTCTATACTGCCTCCTTTTTTTTTTTTTAATTATTATTTTTAAACTTCAGGTTAAGTTCTAGCTGATTCCCGAGTCATCGGCTCCAAGTGAAAAGGCAAAGCAATTAAAAGATAATTGCTCTAATAACACAGGAACACATGGAGTTAACAGACCCCTTATTCCACTTCCAAATTAAGGACATCAGCAAAGCCAAACCAAACAACAATGCTCAGGAATTACTGCATTTAGGTTTCAGCATTAGGAGAAATATTATTTATGCAAAATTAATAAGAACCTTGGTCTCTCTGTGAAATGCTACAAGGGAATTTCTTTTGTGCTGCTGATGTAATGGAATATTTATGAGCACTGGGAATCAGGGCAGTCAGAATTACGACAAAGAGAGGTCACAGAGGGTAGGATTGCAAGGTTACATCAGTTGGGTTTTTTCTTTATATTTGTTTTTTATTGAATTTGTGCAACATGCCTCTTCACAGGTATTTTTATTGTCCTGAACAAATGAAAAAGGCACTGTTGCGAATTTGTCTGGATGTGACCTGGATATATGCACTGCAATAGCCATCTTAATTTATTTTTAATAACTATTTTTTAATAACTATCTCCATTTGCACCAGCACCAACACACACACAAAGACCCCACTGCTCCAGTGCATCTTGGTTTTAACCACAAAACTGCTTGAAGCTAAACATCAAAACTAAAGAACAGCAAAGGGATCACACTGAGCCAGGCACATCGGGAATGTATAAAAAGTGGATGGACACAACAGTAGTCACTACAGGAGGAATATTTTAATGCTCTTTTTTATTCCATATACAGTTACCAAAAACTTTAAAACAGCAACCAAAGCAAAAAAAATCCTCTCATATCAAATTTGCAGAGCATTAAAATATATCTTATTACTATATATATATATATACACACACTTGCATAGAACACAAAATGTCTTGACCTTCTGTAATGTTTCCATGTTTTGTTCATAAACTGGGGCAGAATCCTTTTACTACTTAATTGGCAAGAAGATGCAAAGTTTACAGTGCTACTGGAACATGTACCCATCTTCTGTTGTTTTCCTTTGTGTCCACACAAATGACCCAATTTAGCAGGGCACTGAGGGAATCTCTCCAGATGGGCAAAGTTCATGAAAATATTCATAGGAGGAAAGGTATGTCACTATCCCCAGGCCCTGGGATTGTAATTAGAAAGATCCCTCTTTTTTAGCAGATGGGTCTCCTGGCTTCTTTCCAGTCTACACTTCATGTTGTCTATTGTGGCAAACCAAACTGATATGGAAAGAACAAAAATAAAACATTTCCTAGTTTGGACAGAACCAACAATCATATATGAACACAATTTTTTAATCAGTTTGAAATAAGAGGCACGAAGGCTCAGTCAGTTGCTAGCTGGCTATAGGATTATCCAAACAAGGATAGCTGGAGCAGAGCTCGTTCCACACTGCAGGGACATGGTCATTATTCCATGACAAGCCGGTGATCCCTTTCTAACTCCTCCAAGACAAGGAACTGTCATAAGAAATCCGTGTTTACACGCAGCCTTTGTCAGCAGCCCTAGCAGGAAGATCAGACAAGAACTGAAGGGCCTGCTCACTTCTCTAACAGCTTTGCCAAGTCAAAGCCAGCCTGGAAGCTTGCACCAGAGCTATCTGCTGTCCCAGTAAACAGAAACCTTCCAGGCTTTTCAGTTCACCCTGATGACAAGCATTTTCTCCCAGCCCCACCAAACAAACCCAACCCAAAGGATACTGGTTCCAGGCCGGCTGGAAAGTAGCTAAGTGATGAAATAAAATCACAGTGCCTGTGGAATAATAGCTAAGAAGGAAGGATACCATACCAACAGCTATGAAGCAAAGAACATTTTAAGGAACCTAACGGCGGGCGCGGCAGAAGCGGTGTCATAAAGCTTTGTGTGCTGCTGGAGCAGCATTTCCCCAGTGTGTTCTGACAAGAAGCAAAGCCTTCATGAAAACACCGCTCAGACTCCAGAGCCCGCCCGGTCTCTGCAGCGAGCAGAGCTTGTCAATTAACGTGAACTGTGGAGATGATCCGAGAGACGGGGATCCGCCTGCCGCAGCTCCCCGGAGCCCGTCAGGCTCGTTTTACACAGCCTATTAGAACAGCTATTAGACGGTGTCGATTTTCCCTCACTCTTACAGCTGAACAAATAATGAGAAAAATTATATGCAAACATCCCCATGACTCCTGTATGATTCTGCTTGAACTGCGTCTCCACATTCGCAGTTTGATTCTCGTGGATTCCTGACATTTTAAGGGAGGAGTCTGCTCTCAGCATCCTCTCAGGACCACAAAGTAAATCTCACTCTCAACAGCAATTTTCATGGGAGGAGGGGGGATTATTATGCACAAAATTATGATAAATAACAAACAAGTTTCTTAAAACTGCAATCTGTTTGCAGACAATCTGCAATCAAGAAAGGAGGCTCATTCATCAAGCAAATTGTTACTGGAAATTGTCTTCCTCAGCTATAATCACACACCCAGGGCACTTGCAAACAGAGGTATGAGAATCCTAGCACCAATCCCTGCTTTTATCTGCTTGTCCTCAAATGTACGCTTAATTTAGGAACTTTGTATGTTGAGTACATACAAATGTATGTATGGAATGAGTACCACAAAACATGCCATCTCAAGTAAGGAACTTCAGTGCTAACGCCCAGCGAAGGCTCAGGCCTGTCATACTTATTTGGGTTCTGCCATAGCTTCCACTCTGCTCTCAGACTCCTACTCCCCCTCAGAAGCTGGAAAAAAGCTTCTGGAATGATTTTGGAGGGAGATCAGTCATTTTGGCAGAACCGCTTCTGTCTGGCACGTAATTCGTTTACTTGAGGAAAATCATTTGCTCCCTATTCGCCCACAAGCTCCTCTGTGTACACTGAGCATCCTGAGAGGAAAGATAGCTGGAGGTTAAAATTAGCAAGGAATGCAGATGCCATTGTCTCCTCTCATTACCTCCTCCCACGGTGCGCCTCTCGAGTCCAAACCGAGAGGGGCTGGAAAACACAAATCTAAAGCACAAAGAAAAAGAAGAACATAACAAAAATAATCCCTCTTCAAAATGACAGATCCATCAGACTTTTCTGGACAGTGACAACTCTGCAGATAATTCTCCAAGCAGTAATGACAGTATGTGGTTTCATTAGCATCTTAGGGTTGTACTTGCCATTGCTTCATGCTAGGATTAGATTCCATTATCTCAAGACAAGAAAATCAGGAGTATAGGACAATTAACACTTCAAATGACTTGAAAGAAAACAAGGAATCTTCTGAATAGTCTGTTTCTAGGATGATGTGTTGTAAACAACAACGTCAGCACTGACTTCAGCTCAGCTGCCACAGAAAAAAGAGCGTCTGTTTTTCTTCTTGGCAAATATTGATCACCACTGAAACATTCTCATATATTTGAGATACACCTTTCAAAAATAAAATTAAGGAAAAAAAAATCGTTCCTATAGCTACATGTTCCAACAATTTTCAGAGATCTATGTCTAGCCCGACAAAACAGTGAATAAGACCAATGAATTGTAGCACCTTGGAAAATATTCCTCCTCAGAGGGTCCCCTCTGTGCATCCAGAGAGCAATAATACCTGGGCTTTTAGGACATTGCTCTTGGCTGTGTTCAAATCTTACCCATGCAAAACGTGACCAATGAAACACCTCTGAATGCAAACGAAACAATGCACTGAGCCATAATTCGCAGACATGTCAGGCCATATGTGTTACTGTGAAAATGGGGAAAAATATACATCCTCAAATTTTTGAGTTGTCTGTGTATGGTGAGAATAAAACTGGCATTGCTGCTCTGGTGAAACCAATTCTAACACATGAAATTTCTTGTATTTTTACCCAATATACTCATGCTATACAGACGTGCTAACTGCACTGGCTTGCAGGCAGCTCTCAACAACACCAAGACAATGCTTCTAAAATGTGTCAGGAGAATTAATAGTGCAAAATATTATGAGTAAATTAATTATTCTATCAAACGGCTGACAGCAACATAAAGGGTCAGGGTTTACGCACACAAAAGGACTCCTCTTGAAAAATGACTTGGCCATCTCCTGCTCCCAGACAGAAACCAAGAAAAATGAGGTCTACATTGCCCTCAAATCACCCAAATAGGAAGATCTTTGCTTACCCAGAAGGACTTGAGACACTACCAAAGGGAGGGTGGAAGAAAAATCTTTATAACATTAATCAAGATATCAAGGCAAGCCAGCTCTTGATCACAAGGCTTACCCAGAAATTTATAAGCCTCCAATAACATAATCCCTATTAAAAAAAAAAAATGTGGTTTGTTAATGTAAGTATTTCATTAATAATGAATTAATTACAAATTAACATATATAAAATGTTCTGCACTTCTGTAAGCCTCCAGTATCTTCAATTAAATACATTCATGGAGATTTTTGTTCAAATCCGACATTACTGCCTATTCATAATTTAAAAAGCAAGGGAAAGATGCCGTTCTTGGATGGCATCACTTTGTACCACAAAGTTGTTTAACACAGTGTCACTGGTCACATAAATGCAGACAGCTTCACTGGCTCTTGGGTTATCACAGATTTACTACCAACTTCAACAGACTGGGTCCAGACCCCATATTTACTGTGGAAAAGGCTCCACAGGATAACGAAAGCCATCAACTCACCAGATTCCTTCTGACTATTTGAGTGATGACAGAGAAAAAGAAACAGGAAGCCAACAGCTTCCCAGAAAACAATGTTCCTGGCTTAGACAGCTTATCTTATAAGGAATAACTCCAAAATCATTAAAAATTCAATTATTGGAATGAGAAGTCCAGCAATTTTCAATTCCAAAAGCTGACACTGCTAAGAAGGAACAGCAGTCGATTTTGAAAAGATAGAAAGAGCAATAATAAAATTAAGGATAAAACATTTCCTTTTCAATTAAAGACTAGAACGGAACAGAAATTGAGAAGCAGAGATATGTTGGGATTGTGACCCCTGAAACTATGTATAGCTTAATGCCAGGCTCTGAATTGAGCTACTGCAGCCTCAAAGGGGCATTCCTCAATTGGCTGAGGTTTAATGCAGCCAGGGGATTCCACAGGCATTAGTATTGATGAGGACAGGAGGTTATAAAGCATGTGCTCTCTAGGAGTAAAAAGGGTAATGAAATTATGCAGCTTCTTTCTTCCCCTGCCCTCGGCAGATCCTGCAGACTCATTATCAGTGCTCTTGACAGCTGGGAATCCATCGAGAGCTTGGAATGCTGTGCTAGAACATCCCACCCCTGTGGCTGAGGAGACACTGGATCTACACAATAGCAAACACTGACTTATTTCCAACAGAGGCTAATACTGGCCATTAGCTGTGTTATCTGAACCTCTGGAAAGTATGCCAAATTCACACCTATAGACACGGAATAACCACTGGGACACTATAAAAAAGATGAGCACTTGTACACAGCCCCGATACACAAAGGGTCACCTAATGGATTTCTCTACCTGCCCAGAAGAGCATGCAACGTGATTTTCCACCCTGCCAATCAACCCAGGAGTCACATCTGTGAAACTAGGGAGCCATTCCCTTGACCTTCCCTCACACAGAATGAAAAGAGTGCTTGTACTAAAGCATTAGGGAATAGGTTTGTGCTCTAACAGCTGATGGCAGCTGAGTTGCCGTGGTCACTTCCCTGCTGACCTTCTTTCATTCATTATCCGCTGTGCACATTTCCCAAAGATCCAAATTAAGTTGGAAGTTCACTGTTTAGCACTGCAGCGAAGACACGTGCTTGACCAGGATGCACTGACCCTCACTTAAGGAAACATTATAAGCTTTGGAAAAGATTCCAAGACCTAGATACCATTGTAAATCCTCCCAAGTATAAATTACACCCTTTGTCTTTTAATTAAGAATATGGTACAAAGTTATCCCAGGGACCTGCAACTCCCACCATAATACACTGGGCAAGAAGAACAAACCTTGCTCCACCTTTCCCTACTCATTCTTCTTTTCTTTGTCCTCTCCTGTCTTGCCTCACTCTTCCTCACCCCATTCCTATACTTTTTCCCTCCTCCATTTCTGGTGTTACTGTCTTTTCCTCGTTTAAATCAATTCCCTGTCCCATGCTCCTAAGTCAAACACAGCTCTAATGCATCTACCCACTTGTCACAACTTGTTTTGCCACAGGATGACCGAAAGGAGCCTGTTCCTTCCAGCACTTGCAAATAGCTCCAGAAGAGTCAAGCACAGGAGGAGATTTAAGGATACAGCCTCAGCAGTAATGGCCATTTACCTCCTGACACAGCCATGACCTGATGGGGAACCCAGTGCACACATGAGAGGACTCGAGCTGTAGCTCAAACCCATCCGCTGCCAGAGCTTCCTACATCAGACACGTGCAGTCCTTGAAAGATGTCTTATATTTCAATATAATATATTTCAATATTTCTTATCGGCAGCAAGAGACATTCCACTATTGCCACCGAAGGGAAATGTTACCTCCACGCTCACTGAAATAAAACCTGGACAAATGGTGAAAACTTGCTCCGTTTTAGTACCGGCTCATCCAAAAATTCCAAGCAGATGTTTCATTCTGCAGCTGATACACAAGAGCTCTGTCCCTCCCTTCACGAGGAGCTCAGTTCAACCCAAGAGGATGCTATCCCTGACCAGTATCCTGAGGACATTTCTATTCTGCTGGACAGACTAAAAGTTAACATTATTTCCCAAACTAAGAAGAAGCCCATCTTTTCCAGGCCACAGTGCAACAGCATCATCCAGTGTAAAGCAGCACAGCAATTAGCACATGTGACTGCTGCTGCCAGTGCTCAGAGTAGAGAGTGCCCTGAAAGAAACTAGAGGGAAGGCAGAGCTACACACAGAGCTCCAGGCAGACTTCCCATGCTGTTTAAATCCATCTGAACATCAACAGTGATTAATTTGATCTTAGCAGGCAGTTTGAGCATCCTTCTTCAGTTTTAACCCTGGCTATCTGAGAAACAACCAGATGGAGACACTCAGGTCTGAGGTTCCAGAGAAGTTCCATCCCTGAATTTCCTACATCCTCTACTTGTCTGCCATTTCCTTCATTGCCTCCATTGCTGAAGAGGCTCAGCAGCTGTCACCCAACCACACACCTGTTTCTTTTAGATCCTGACTCCTCAGGGTTAAATACCAGGACACTGAGCAGCCAGATCCTCACTCCACCTCCTCCTAAAAGCAACCATCTTGTTCTGCAGATCACAGACACTTCTTTGGCAAAAACAGACCATGCCCTCGTCTGACCTTTGATTTTCTATGCACAAAAATGCAGCTGGGAGCCAGCCTCTATGAGATAAAGAGGGGGGAAAAAATCATCCCCACCAGCTCCTTATGGGAGCAAGACAGCAGAATCCAGTTCTGTGCATCTGCCCAGAAAATTCGGTGCAAAAGAATGCCCCACACAGTGAGACAGACAAGTTAAAGTCAAATTTTCTATACATCAGCTGGCACTCAGGTTCCCAGAAACAGAGAATTAAAAACTCATCAGTACTTCTCCGACCTCCTCTACTTTCTAGACAAAAACTTCTTCATAAAATAGTTTGTAGAATTTAATTTTACACAGGTTTGGCTTTCTTCGTATTATGCAAAAACATTCTGTAACTTTAAATCCCCATTTGTTCTGCCTAGATAATTATAAGTAAGTTTTCCAGAATCACTCAGAAATGCCTTGAGGAAGTGCCCAAGCAAACAGTCAAAGACAGGAGGCCTCAATCCAGTTTTCTGACAGCTTGGATGAAACAATTTGACATAAATGCCCCCACAGAAGTCACCACAACACATGGAGCAGACAATGATTAACTTAAACTTCTGTTTCTGTTCAAGTGCTCCCTTAGAGCTCAGTGTTAAAACCAAAAAGTAACAGGGCATTTCGGATTTCAGTCCATGGAAGCATATGACCCATCCTGCAGCTCCAGACAGTGACCAAGTTCGATCCTGATATTTTCTTGCCCAAAAGTCAGACGTTACATCAGAAGCAAAGGTGACCCTGTGACAGTCATGCTCTGCTCTATTGAAATGCACCTTCACGAAGGAAGGTTTGATATGCTTTAACAGAAAATGTCAAAGCTTGACTAAATGTCAAGATATCATTACACTCTCTAACAAACACTCACTGAAAATTAGTTGCAAGCTAGATCAATTTTTTAAATACATTTATTGATACTACACTGAACAACAACAGAAATATTTTTTTTTAAATGGTACTAAAATACAGATTTTGACAGAAGTTGCAATTACACTTTGTGATTCCCCAGTTATTTTACATTAGCCTCAATCTAATTTGCAATTTTTAAGCCTTAGGAAGCCCACTGCAAATTACAGACCAGATGTTGATGAGGTTGTTATCTAGTGAGCTATAAATAGAAATAAAGCAATAGAAGCTGACATCCAAGAAATGCCCAATGAAAATTTTACAAGCAGGAAAGCCATGAAAGCTGAAATACGAACTCGTGAAAAAAACGCTGCTGTCATAGTTTGAAAGCTAACACAGTAACCCAAACAACTGGATGTGTAATCACACCATTTGTGCAAAACAAATGTTATTTTGCACTATTTATAAACATGGGTAAAATACAATGTATTTGGGGACCTGATATTCTCACCTATACCACATACCTCCTGATAGCTGCTTGGATTTATTTCTCCCACAACTCTGACTCCAAATTCTTTATCCTCACACACTGCAGGTGTTGAGCAGACAAAAGGAACCTGCTATTTGTAGTTTCTAAGTAAGAGGGGAGGAAGAACAAGTGTGTAATGATACACCGGCTTCCTCCTGTGGATCTCAATGTGTGAAGTTTCAAGGCTGATTCTTTTCCTATCCAATTCTTCTGGCTAAAATTACCTGTTTGCAATATCATCAAGTTTCCTCTGTTCCCTCTGTATCCTGAATTTTACTAGAGAATGAATGTGCCCTTCAATTTTAATTTGAACAGCATTTTGATAGAGTTTTACTAGTAGCATCACAAGGGATCTGGTGTTTTTTATTTCTCTCTTCCTGAGTTCCTAATGGAACAGCAGGAGGTAAAGTCTGTGTTTAGGCCATAGAATAAGTCATAAATGCCAAAAGGGTAAACATTCAGGGGAACACTTCCCAGAGAGTACCAAGCAGAAATCTTCAGAACAAATCAATGCACTTTAAGTAATCAATTCTACTTCTGCAATTCTTTCTATTCCCTATTAAAGTGTCCAAAGGCTAAAATTACTCTCAGATTCTGCAATTCACAATGCAATAAACAAATATCGATGCTCCAGTTTGTGATTTGTGAGCTTTTAAGGTAATGGAAATCAGACTGATTTGCCCTGTGCCAGAGAAAAGGCTTAGGTCTTCATTTTCAAAATGATGAAAACTACCGTTCATTTTGCTATGGAAGATATTTCACTTGTCTTATCTAAACAGGACTTTATGTTCAGGAATCCAGAAGAAGAACTGACACTTGCCTTTAGCACAGCTTCCCTGAAACTCTGTAAAATTAAATGTCATCCCTGGTGCAAGTCCTTGGGTACAACCCGCAGCTGCATCTCGAGTGCTGTGGAAGATGAATGAGCAGAAGGTGGCAATAGAGCACTAGATCTAAATCCATACATACTTTATTCCCAATTAGATGCTCGCTCACACCACAGCACACGCCCTGTCTGTGAGTTGTGTACCTCCACTGAAAACCCAACACGATATAGGTGTGATTTCTCACAGCTGCATCACCCCTGGGTAAAAGCCAATGTAAAAAGTTTACTTTTCTCCCCAGGTGAGGTGATAATATAGGTGTGATTTCTCACAGCTGCATCACCCCTGGGTAAAAGCCAATGTAAAAAGTTTACTTTTCTCCCCAGGTGAGGTGATAATAATTACAGGATTTCTACAAGCACTTCAGTGTGCTGCCTACGCAGCTCTCTGCATCTATCAGAAAATGACAGAAAACAGGGGGGTTGTGTAGTTTGTCAATAAAAAAGTCTTTATAAACCTATGTACCTCCTCCAGCTGAAAAGCTAAATTATAAGCACTTATCTTAAAGCCAGAGTGGAAAAATGTCATTAGATTTTATACAATAATATTCCCCTTCATTTCCAAAAAAAAAAAAACCACATCTCTTGAGCACTGGTGGAAAGGGTATGGAAAACGTCTTATTCTTTTCAAGATTAAGAATACTTCAGTGTAACACTTCACTGTTAACCAGGTAACCACAGAGAAATCTGACTCAAGTTTGCAGTTAAAGGCTTCAACTTTCAGTCAGAAAGTGCCGTTTCATGCAGGTTTGTAGAGACTTCCCAAGGATACATAAGGATTATCTGAAATATTCTTTTCCATTATAAGCATGTAGGAGGGTTTGAGGAAGGCAGAGACCTCCCTCTTTCGGCCAAAGGGAGGCAAAGCAGGCACACACTGCCTCTACGAGAGATTTTAAGGCAAATAGGACTGGACTTATTCCCCCACATCTCCGGTGGAGACAAATAAAAAAGGATAAAACAATGAGGGGGGGGAAATTTCACTGGTGTCTCATATGCAATACTCCCAGTGTTGACACGCTTAACATGACAAGCAAAGACTGATTTCATGCACCACAGAAAGCAGTTTTTCTCAAGTTTGACGTGGCATTAATATTATTTTGAAGTTCTGTATAGAGTTTCTGGTTTCAAATCTCTTGAAATAAAGATATTTCTTAACATGAACACAGCAGTGTACCAGATTTTTTTTCCTGCCCTGCCTTTCCCTGCTGAAGCCCAGTAGGCGGCAGTGCCTGAGATGCTGCCCACAGCTGGACACCAGCCTTCAAACCCTCCAGGGTTTGAAATGACCCCCATCTGCCCTAATAAGCCACATTAAATTAAAGCCCACAGAACCATGCTGACTAGCAAATGCTTGGGTTTAAGATGTTGCAGGTACCTAGAGCTGAAACCCAAGTAGTGAGTGTCTAATTTATGGATCCCCCCTCGTGCATACACGAGTGCTCCACATCAACCAGCATCACTCAAGACTGAGGTATGTGAAAGCAGCCTGGTGGAAAAGTGACAGTAGCTGAACTTTCCCCCTCAACAATGAAGAGAGGAGAAATGAGAAGCAAACCTTGAGGGCAAGTTTCCCTGGCTCAATGAGCAGAGCCCACGGCCAGGACTGGCGGGTCTCCGTGCCCCATGAATCGCCTGAGCTGGAAGTCGATACGCAGCAGGCAGAGGGGAGCCTTCCTCCGTGTCTGTACAGTGATTACAACTTGCTAACTAACCATTCCTGGCCTCAGCTCCAAAGGGCTGGGACTGGATCTCTCCCAGTACTGCTGGCTGGGGAGCCGGGCAAATACTGAGCTATAAATACAGCCACGGATTTGCTCGCTGCTCACCCGCCACTAAAAAGGATCCCTGGAGCAAATCCCTCACAAGACACAGCATTTTCTCTTTTATCACTGCAAAAGATTGGGTTTTAAAACACCAACAAAATGAAGCAAATGGAAATAGTCAAGATATCTGACATCCTAAAAAGCCTTCCA